GTTGCAGCATTCGTATTTTGACAGTATCAGAGAAACGGGGGATTCGGCAAAAGAGCAGGAGAAACCAACAAAGAAGACCCTACGACAGAGCCGAAAGCACTTGCCGGGGGTAAAAATGGGGCACTGCTTTACAGAAACATGCGAGGTTGCAATTTCAAATGAGTTCACACCTGCCGTCTGGTACAGAGAGTCTGAATCTGTACTTGAGGTGAGGTTGTGGCTTGCAGTTCCAGCATCCGTTATTCTTGCGTGAGGACACACAGGTCACAAGATCTACCGGCCAGGGTCCCAGAGACACAACCTGTTAAGGGCCCTTCTTCCTGAATCCTAAAGATGACCTCGCCTCGTGGCTCCCTGCTGCCTCCCAGGGGCCAGGGCTTTAGGTGTGCAGGAGCACAGGCGGAGACCAGGGTGTGAATCCCGCTGAGCATGCTTCTTGAGCTTTGGAAAAGGAAATTAAATTTACCCAGGCAGCTCTCTGTCATCATGTTTACCTTCAGTATTGATTGACATTCCAGCTTTATCTGAAAAGGGAACTGTTTTCCTCCTTGGCCCGTTAATCATCAGAGCTGGCTACGGTAAATGTGGTGGTGAGTGCTTTCAATGAGCACGCTATCCAGGCTGCATACTGGGAGCCTGGGAAGATTTGTGATTGCTGTAAAGTGGGAAGCGTGGCCTTGCATGAAGGGTCTTGTCATAAGCCAAGAGCTGTAATGATTTAGAATGGATTGTATTGGAACCACAGTTAGGATGAGCTGGCTGCTCCCGATTGCTTCTGGATCTGCTCAGGTGCCCCTTAAGCTTTCAATTATCTTGCCTTAGTCTTTCCCTTTGAAGCTTCCACTGCTGAGTGGCATCTGGGTGGTGTCTGTGAGGTTTGGAGGAGAGAAGAGGGTGGATGGTCCATTAAGGAACAGGTACAGCATGAAACCCAGTGCCCTGAAATAGACCAGAGTTAGGAAGTTAAGAATGCTTTTCATACAAAGCAGACTGGAGATAGATTTTCCCCTCAGAGTTTCCTCTTACCTTACTGTTTCTTTGCGTTCAGGAGTAAAGGGTCTTGATAGAAATATTTTTACTTGAAAGAATAGGGAAACCTCACTAATTTGTGTATCGCTTGTAGGTTTGATTCAAAAGTCCTGAAAAGTATTCGTTTTTCAGATACCTAAGTCCATATAGTACCATAAAAAAGATGTGTTCCCTTGCTTTTGTTTGACATTGAGGATGAATTTAAACATTTTCTGGTAGCATTAAAGGAGCAGTTTTGCCTTTTTAAGTAAGGTGTGAAGTCGCTCAGTCGTGTCCGACTCTTTGCGACCCCGTGGACCCACCAGGCTCCTCTGTCCGTGGGATTCTCCAGGCAAGAATACTGGAGTGGGTGGCCACTTTAAGTGAGGTAGTAGGTGGCCATCTGAATGCCTCAGACATCAGTTTTCTTTGCTGTAAGACAAGGTATTGGCTTAAATGATCCCTAAGTTCCCAGCAAGCTCTTAACTCCTGTGAATCTGTGCTTTTTCCCCAATAAGGTTAACATGTAGATTTCTCCTTCCTTTTCATATCCTCTAAATTTCCTTTAGTGTACATGTTTTGCTTTATAATAAACAATAAATCTTGAAAAGCAGAGACCAGATTTATAGGAGGCGGTGAGCTCCATGTCCCTCAATTCCTCCATCTTGATTGGAGCCCCTGAGGTCCAGATGTAAACATTCTGTTCTCTCTCAGATCCCGGATTCTATGCAGAAAGAGTATTTCTGTGCTGAAAAAATTATTTACCTTTTTTTGAATGTGTTATGGATAATGAAGAAAGCGTGTGGCACTGAACGTAATTCTGTTTCGTATTTTCAGTTGCAGTGCCTACCTCAGCTGACCAGCAGCAGCATCCTTCCAGCTCTGGATAACAAGAAATATTGCTATAACACCAAGAAACTTAACTACCATTTTCCAAATATTTAAAGAGCTTGGAGATTGATGATAAAAAAAGAGTTGATCATCAATTTGAATAAAACACACATGGTTGAAGACAATCACAATGTTGGAAAAAGCCTCAGGAGAAAACTTAAGTAGCTAAGTGGGGGAGGCCACATGGCAAGATGTGAAGGAAAATTCCAGAGGCAGTCTTCCATGCATGATGATGCCGTCCAGAACAGAAAGGAACAACTTCTTTGGATTTTCACTTGTATTTTTATTGTATCTAAGTAGCTGAGCTGATGGACAGAATATAAACTGTATCTACTGTACTCGCCCATACCTCTGGCAAAATAGAGATGCAAGAAAAAAAAAGATTTATGCTATAATCGTACCAGATAGAACAAGTGAAAATGGATTACAGAATGCCCACATATTTTTTTTTGGATCTCTGTTGCTTTGAGTCCTATCTCCTGCCTCTTGAGATTTTCTCATCATATTTAAGGAGGGTTTTAGTTCTGAAAAGCAAAATGTTTAAAATTCCATTTCCTGCTTGTTCTAGTTCTTGATTTTTATATATGGAAACTTCTTGAATATTTGAGTCATTCAAAATATTTAAAATCATATGGATTATCATAAAAGGACTGTAATTTATCTGCTTATATATTTAATGATGTGGTTATAGACACTTCTTACATATACTTTGGTCTTTACCTTTGGTAAATGATGCATCTTAGTCATTTTTGCAGGCAAGATGGGTTGACTATAATCTGTCTACATTTGTTCACCCAATTACCCTTGCAAACAATGGCATGAAGCTTGGTCGTTGACCAAGGGGTAGAACAAGATCTACAGGCTTTGCAAGAACTGATCCTGCCAGCCTGAAAGTAATTAATACTCCATTCTCTCCAGTTCAGCCTCAGACCTGAAGACAAAGCAACAGGCAGGATTATATACAGTGATCTGGGTTTTGGAAGAAACTGCTGATAAACTTTCACTTGGGTCATAAGAGACATTATTTTTTAAGTTGATATTTTCCCTGAAATATCTTTTTACACTCTATGTATATGTTGTGTATATATGTATACTGCACATGCCTATATGTGTGTATATATACTAACCTAACAACTAAATGCTAACGATAATAGGCCAAAGTGATATTATTGAGAATTGCTAGCTTTGTACAGTGATACTTAAAATGATGACATATAATTACCTTTGATTTGGCCTATTGTTTCTATTCAAAAAGCTTTTTCATCTTTGTCCCCTGGACATAAGGGCAATATGAAGCTGATGTCTGTTTCTTATTGCTCAACCCCATTTTTGATTGATGTGCCGCTATTTCGTAGCAGTTCTCGGCCATGGTTTTTGAAGATGTACTTTACTGTTTACTGTATCTTCAAAACATTTCTTCTGCACTTCAGTTTACTGCTATATTAATTTTCTCCATGACAGCATTTGACTGTTTTCACTTATAGCACAGTGATCTACCAAATTCTGGCATCTGTTCAATAATTTTGACTACCCAGCCAGATAGCCTGAGGCTTCCTGATGTATGTAGCTTCTTGCATAGAGCTGACAGTGGGCTAAATAACCAGTCACAATATAATCTAATTCTTGTTACATAGATTTGATTCAAATGACTAAGAAGGACATCCAACTTCTGCAATGGTGTAAATTTTGTATTTTCTTTTTTCCTTACCCCTAACAATGCACTTGAGGAGGCAGATGACTGTAACTGCCTAATTTATCCAGTATTTTTAAAGAATCCCATTCAGAATAGAAAAGTATCTTCAGACTAACTTGTGGTCAGTCAGTTGCTTCATCACATAGTAATCAAAGAAACCTGAGATAGAAGTGGTCATTTTTTTCTGACATCTATAAAATGTATGCTTATACTTAACCATATCCATGAGCCTTTCTTCATCACGGAATCACCAGTTTCACATGAGACAAACATTTTCTGATTTTTTAAATGACAGTGGCAATTATATTAGTAAATAGTATATAATTTATGGCACATGCTATTTACATAATCTAGTTTCTAAACAATGAAAATTCATTTTGATACTATAAGGGTGCATCACAGAAAGTGTTTATTTTAAAACTATCTCCAGTCAAGGTTATATCCAACAGAATAATGTTCAAACATACAGACATCCACAAACAAGTTGGTATATAACTAACAATAATAGAATCAGGGCCATTTCAAACAGGTAAAAATAAAGATCTGATTTTATCTATTTATGATATTCATTATCACTGTGTTCTAGACATAAAGTGAATTTTGGGCTCATACTCATGGGAAATACTATCCAACATATATGAGGGAATACAAATTCTAATTGACATGTTAAATTTTTCCTCTTTAAGCAGTTTTTAAATTTAAGCAAAAAAATAGGTAAAGCTGTGCTGGTCTTCATCATTGTTTCCTGTGGTTTATTGGAATAAGCACAGTTGTTTAAATCCAGCCAAGTATTTATGTTTAGTTTTAGTAAAACACCAGATTAAGCCTACAGAATAGACAAATTAGCCAGAAACTGTTTATTCAGAGAAAGGATGTATGTTACAAAGAGCACAGATAGGCAGGATCATGAGAAATGCATGCAAATCCTGGGAAGCAATGGGAATGCTCCAGTAACCTCTGATTACTTTGCATAATTGACTCCATCAATGAATCTGAAATTTAGCTTTCAGTTTTTCATAATTGTACATTTATAGTGACATGCTTCAATAACTTTAAAATGAAACAAATTACTGTCAAAAAATAAATATGTGTACTGTACATTTAAATAATTTTAAAGAACTTAAGTATCTATATCAGATATTTATATAGATACCATTATAAAATAAATAATATATTAAAATTAAAAGGGTATCTGATTTGCACTTAATATGATTTAGTGTCCATAAATTCTTACTTACAACTTAGTAATTTTAGTGAATCACATCTGAATGTTTATTTTCTACATGATGGACTCTGCTAGAATGTCATAACATCCTTATAGTTCTGCTGATAATTATATTTATTGCTGTTAAAGATCAATTTAAAATGATACTCTACACTGAATTAAGATACTTATTGAAATATTATTTTATTTCAAGTCTAATTTTAGCTCCAGAGAAGGCAGTGATGTCTTAAAGGCTTGAACAATTTTTTCTTTTTCTTTTACTCCAGGAAGATCACTTAGAAACAAATACTTGAGGTTCCTGTAAAAAAAAGAAATTTTTAAAAGTTAATGTAATTTGACCTTTACTCTTATAACATTAAAAATAAACTTGTTTTATTGGTTTTTAAAGAAATTACACACAGTGTGTGTTCATATCATCCTACACATTCAAAATGACTTTTAGAACAGTAGTCTTAGAGTACTACTTTAAATGAAATTCATGCTAGGAACTAATCTAGACTTTGGAAAGTTTAGTTGTTCTGGTTATGTCAATAATTCTGCTGAGTTTTTCCAAATATGTATATTATGGCATAGAACTCCTTTGCATGTTAAATATAAAATATGACAGTTGTAGTTATGATTTTTTTAATCTGACACTGAAAGTAAAAACAATTAAAGCAAAAATAAACAAGTGGAACTGCATCAAGTTGAAAGGCTTCTGCACAGCAAAGAAAACCATTAACAAAATGAAAAGGCAACCTACTGAACAGGAGAAAATATCTGCAAGTCATATATCTGATAAGGGGCTAATATCCAAAATGTATAAACTCATACAACTCAACAGCAAAAAACCCGAACAATCTAGTTTTTAAAATGGGCAAAACATCTGAATAGATGTTTTTCCAAAGAGAGCATACAGATGGAGAACAGGTACATGAAAAGATACACTACATCATTATCAGGGAAATGCAAATCAAAACCACAATGAGACAGCACCTTACACTTGTTAGAATGGCTATTATAAAAAAGACTAGAAATAAGTGTTGGTGAGAATGTAGAGGAAAGGGAATCTTTGTGCATGGTTGATGGGACTGTAAATTGGGACAGTCATATGAAAAACAGCATAAAGATTCCTCAAAAAATTAAAAAAGAACTACCATATGATTCAACAATTCTATGTTTCAGTGTTTATCTGAAGAAAACAAAAACACTAACTCAACAAGACATCTGCACAGCCCTGTTCAGTGCAGCATTATTTACAACAGTCAATATACAGAAACAACCGAAAGGTCACTGATGATCAATGGATAAAGGAAATACGGTATATGCATATATGTAGTACTGAGCCATAAAAAAGAATAAAATTCTGCATTGGCAGCAAACCCGATGGACCTAGAGGATATTATGCTAAGTGAAGTAAGTCAGAGAAAGACAAATACTGTATGATCTCCTATATGTGGAAGCTAAAAATAAATAAGCAAGCTCATAGATACACAAAACAGATTGGTGGTTATTACCAAGATGGGGTGAGAAGCAGGAAAAATGGGTGAACTGTGTTATATTTCTGCTTTTATTTTAAATGAAATTGAATTTTAAAAATATGAATCTTAACTTAGAAAGGAAAAGGAACTGGGGAAGTTCTTAAAACAACTCAAGTTTCTATTAAGAGATGAAGCCACAAAGCCTGAATTAATGTAAGAGACAAACAATCTTGTACTTTTGATTCTAATGTTTAAAATTTCTCAAAGTTCCTGTGATGCTGAGTTTATTGGTAGAACATGGGGGGAAAATACTTTAAAAGATGAGGAGAAAAAAAAAAAGATGAGGAGGAAGTATAATAGCTAATGTTTACTGACAGCACCAACAACTGTAATAGGCATCATACTAGGTGCTTTATGTAATTGATTTTTTTAAAAAAGATGCTTCCTAAAAAATGCAATACAACTATAAGATATTAAAGTTGATAACTTCAACTGTTTTAAAGTATTGTGGCTGAAGGTTAAATCATTTTTTTAAAATTCTGTTTTTCAGAATTAAAAAAAGATACCATCTCTCAACTGTTTTAACTGATTATTCACCTTAACATGATTATCAAGTTTCCATTTTGACTGTGACCACCTACCTGAAATGATGCAAAGCAATGATACCTTTGTCTGTGATATTCCCACATGAAATTATTTCCATTTCCAACATGCTTTTTCGTAAATTTTCAAGTTGGCTAAGTCTCTCCAAACAACCATCCTCAATATAGTGACACTTGCATAGTCTTATTTTTTCAACATACTGTAGGCCTTCTGGAGGGGAAAAAAGTACAGTTTAAGAACTTGCTTTACCATTAAGATGATCAACTCTCCTAGTTAGCCCAGGACTGTTCTGGTGTAAGGACTGAAAGTCCTAAGTCCTAGGAAACCTCTTAAGCCCAGGAAAACTGGAACAATTAGTCACCCTATTAACCACACAAAGTATTCACTACATGGGTTGTGCTGACACACAGGGCCAATCTACAGTCAGATGCCCATGCAGTGAGGAATGAAATGCCCACACAAGCAGAGGCTGTGTGGATATAATTATTTCTATATTAGTCAGGGTTATTCAATGACAGAAGTTTGACAAAGATAGTCTGACAAACAAGACCTTAAATATTAAGTCGATAAACCACGGCTTAGTGTGGAGAGAAAGGAGAGGAGGGTACTTGTAACCTCTGCGTAACTTAAAAATAAATATCATACACACGAAGATACAAGCTGGATTGGACTGAGAGGGACGAGAAGGACACCCGTATGACTATAAAAGTGAGTCAACTGCAACCAAAGGTCATTGCAAACCACCCGCATTTCCCATAACAAGTGGTAGAGGACTTACCCATGTGATCAAATCCAATGCTCATGATACAGGACTCAGTGGCGTCAATCGCCTGAATCTTGTATTTGCCCAGAGGGCCTGTCGGGAGATGGTTGTAGTCCTTCTGCCACCTCTCCTGGCCGTGGTAGCGCACCACGGCCCCGCAGCGCAGCAGCCACTCTGACGCCGCCCTGTCAGGACCAACGTCCCTGATGCGGTCGTGATCCACTCTGGGGACCAGAACAAAAGCAGGTCGTTTTTACTATAGTCCCTAGCTTCTTAGCTGTGTTCACCAACATACGTACAGAATAGCAACTACTTTTCACTTCATGTGATGAGGAGGGAGATAAATCCATGTAAAGAAAACATTCAGTGGTAGCTCTACTTGCTACCATTTTTGCTTTTGTTTTCAAGCGAATGCTGTCAAAGCATTTTTTTTTTTTTAATCTGAGTTTATCAGGCAGAGATGGGTCTTCATTGACTCGTATGCAGCATAGTAGCTTGACTCCAGGAGATACTCAGTAACTATGTATTGAACAAATGACAAGCCTTGGTTATAATTTTTATTAATGATAAAAGATTAAAAAAGGGAATAATTTTGAACATTTGTTCAAATTAATGTCCTTAAGTGATCTCTATTAATTTTTACACATGCCTTTTTCTATAGTTAGTGGTATTAATGCTGTATTAAGCAATGAGGAGGTTAGTTTTGCCAGTTTCAAAATAAGCATGCCACCAAATAACATTTTTAAAACTTGAATTCACTTGATAATATTCAAAAGGTTAACTACATTGCTTAAGTCACAGAATAAAATATTCTAACATTACTGAGCTTTTCTGATTATAAAAATAATAAAAGATCATTTCAAAAAGCTTGAAAAGCACTGAAAGAATGAATAAAAAGAATCACTGAAGTCCTGCAACCCAGTCAGTTACAGTTAATAGTCTATAACCTATCTTTTTTTGGTCTTTATTCAATTTTTTTAAAAAGAAAATTAGGACCATACTGCATACACAACACAAATAACATCTGAAATATAAGAAAACCAAATTAGCCACTGGGAACTCATTGAGCTGAAACAATCTCCATGTTTCTTCACTTTAGTAAGGGTAACTTACTTATTAAACACTGCATTCAACCAGCCCCAGAAGTATCGGGAGTCACATGACCATGGGAGTTTCTTTAAGCCACAGAGCTGCTGGGAAATTTTTCCAAACAGCATCATTTGCTCTAGACACATAAAATAGTATTCATATTAGATCATCAGTTGGCAATCAGAATCCATACATACAGCAACTTACTTCACAACTTCAGACTCAATGCTCTTGTGATGATAAAGCTGACTCACTTACCCCTCAATAGTTACTGAGCAAGTTACTGCTGTTTGTTTTTTTTGGTTTCTTTTGCTGCAAAGAACGAGAGACAGAATTGGATGGTCTCTATGGTTCCTCCCAGCCTTGACATTGTCATACTTGTTCGATCTTCAGTTGGAGTCCGCCTGCAGTGGCGCCACCTGGTGTCCATTCAGGTAGTGCAGCTACAGATTTACCGAAACCACTTCCAGTCCCGACCCACATTTCCAGTATCAAAATGACAAACTAAAGTCATCTAAGGAGCAATGTGTCAAGGTTAAGACACTTACATCCAGAAAAGGAGAGGAATCATGGAACTAGATCTTCCTATGACAAGATTGTAAGCAGTGTCCCCAGAACAGTGCAAACCAAGAACTATGCCAGGGCAGCTGGGAAAGACTGGACAAGCAACTTAACCTCTCTGACCCTTGGTTTTCTCATTTATAAAATGAGATGATTTGCTCAGATGATTTCCAGCTGTAAAAATCCATAACCATGAGTTGAGAAAGTGATTTCAGAACTGGGTCTCAACCTGACTTAAAGTGCCAGGTGGGGGGAAAACACAGACAAATGACACATTGTCTTTGAAGAGCTGACAACTTAATGCAGGATAGAGTGAGTTAAAACAAGTCATCAGGTAGTTAAAATAAATGATGGAACCTGAAAAATACCTCAAAAGAGTTAAAGACAAACAAGGATTTCAACAGACAGAGATGTCAAGAAAAGGTAGGTCAGGTGACTAGCTGTGGTGGGAACGTTTAAGGCTTACTGTAGTTCAGTTGGCTTAGAACATGGGGGTCATGAGGAGACAGACAATGTACACAGCCACAATGGGAAGGGTCTCCTGTGATCAGCCAGCGAATTTGGCTTCTGCAGGTAGCTAGGAGTCACTGAGTTTTCAGCACAGAGCACTGGCATGGTCAGAACTATGCTTCAGGAATATTACTCAGACAGCAGCAGCAAGAATGAGGGTCATTCAGAGATAAGGAAACTGAAGCCCTGATATTAAGTAACTCACTGACACCCTAAAATCCTGGAAGAAGGTGGGGTATTAGTAAATGCATATGTTTAAAGGGACTTGCCCAGTGGTTCATGGCTAACTGTTAGCAGTGCAGTGCTGAAACCTGAACCTAGCTTTCGCCCCTGTTAGTCAAGGGCTCTTTCCTCAGTCACTGAATGGTTCTAGGACTCAAGAAAAAGAAGAGGACTAGAAAGAGTCCTGAGCTGAGGAAATGCCGGAGGATGTTGAGGCTGTGAACAATGAGAGCTGTGGTCTGAGGACAGTACCCTGGGGTCGTCTGCTACCTTCTTCCCTGTGTTTCCGCCATTACTCTGCCTTCATTACTACCAACTTGTCCCCATGCTATAAACACTTCCGCCCACATTCTCAGACCTTCACTGCTTTTGGTTAATCTCTCACCACCCGTGCCCACTTCAGTAACTCCTTTGCTGCCAACCATATTCACAAATTGGGTCTTTCTGGATTCATCTCAGACTGCTCCCTCCTAGTTCCCTCCTAGTGTCCTCCCTGTCCCCACTATGGAAATCTTTCCCAACCTCAAGACTATTCAAATACCATCTCCATCCATCTATTCATTCAAGCAATAAATATTTAAAGATTTGAAGAAAAGTATGCAGAGCAAAACGAAGAGCAAAAATCACACATTCATTTCAATTATCCCAAACACCGGACACAGCACGATCCCCTAATGCAAGCTCAATAACTATTTGGAATTAACAATCTTCAATGGCTGACAAATTTTCATGCAGAAACAAACTGTCATTAAGCAGAAAAATTAGAGAAGTATGAAAACTGAAGTCACTTGATTCATTTTGGTCAACCTTATCTTTCAGCTTAAGATTAAATTTACTTCAGCTTATGATCTCTAGAAATACTGGATATTATATTCAAAATAATTTAAACATGAAAATTAAGTTTTTATTTTTCAGTAAACCTAAAAAAAATAACTGGTAGGTTTTTGCATTCTCAACTGTAATTTTGTTAATTAATTGATACTGAGAATTTCAAATGAATTCAAGCATGTGGAAAATTCTGAAAGAGATGGGAATACCAGACCACCTGACCTGCCTCTTGAGAAACCTATATGCAGGTCAGGAGGCAACAGTTAGAACTGGACATGGAACAGACTGGTTCCAAATAGGAAAAGGAATACGTCAAGGCTGTATATTGTCATCCTGCTTATTTAACTTATATGCAGAGTACATCATGAGAAACCCTGGGCTGGAAGAAGCACAAGCTGGACTCAAGATTGCCGGGAGAAATATCAATAACCTCAGATATGCAGATGACACCACCCTTATGGCAGAAAGTGAAGAGGAACTGAAAAGCCTCTTGATGAAAGTGAAAGAGGAGAGTGAAAAAGTTGGCTTAAAGCTCAACATTCAGAAAACTAAGGTCATGGCATCTGGTCCCATCACTTCATGATAAATAGATGTGGAAACAGTGTCAGACTTTATTTTGGGGGGCTCCAAAATCACTGCAGATGGTGATTGCAGCCATGAAATTCAAAGATGCTTACTCCTTGGAAGGAAAGTTATGACCAACCTAGACAGCATATTAAAAAGCAGAGACATTACTTTGCCAACAAAGGTCCATCTAGTCAAGGCTATGGTTTTTCCAGTGGTCATGTATGGATGTGAGAGTTGGACTGTGAAGAAAGCTGAGCACCGAAGAATTGATGCTTTTGAACTGAGGTGCTGGAGAAGACTCTTGAGAGCCCGTTGGACTGCAAGGAGATCCAACCAGTCCATCCTAAAGGAGATCAGTCCTGGGTGTTCATTGGAAGGACTGATGCTGAAGCTGAAACTCCAATCCTTTGGCCACCTAATGAGAAGAACTGACTCATTGGAAAAGACCCTGATGCTAGGATGGATTGGGGGCAGGAGGAGAAGGGGACGACAGAGGATGAGACGGCTGGATGGCATCACCGACTCGATGGGCATGGGTTTGGGTAGACTCCGGGAGTTGGTGATGGACAGGGAGGCCTGGCGTGCTGCAATTCATGGAGTCGCAAAGAGTTGGACATGACTGAGCGACTGAACTGAACTGACCTGAGCTGAACCTCTAAGAATGCTTTCTAGAGGGAAAGAGGAGACCTCTGGTGGTGAGTTGGTGAATTTAGCTTTAATAAATTAAAAGAAGGGCTTCCGGGAAGGCTCAGCAGATAAAGAATCTAACTGCAACGCAGGAGACACAGGAGACTCGGGTTTGATTCCCAGTTGGGAAAATCCCCTGGAGAAGGAAATGGCAACCCACTTTAGCATTCTTGCCTGGAATATTCCATGGACAGAAGAACTTAGCAGGCCACAGTCCATGGGGTCGCAAGGAGTCAGACACAACTGAGTGACTAGGCACACAAATTAAAAGAAACCACTCAAACTCAAGTTAAAAAACAAACATCACTAAGTTACTGCTGTGATAAATAACTCAGGAATTCAAATTATTTTAAAAATTCTTCCTACTATCATAATATGGCTTGGAGCCATAAGCTTTTAACAGATGTTTCCAAAGGTTTTGTGACTTAGAGAAGGCTGGACCTCTAATGTGTGCCTCAAAACAGGAGATGGGGAGTTCTCCAATTTGCATAAAAACAAGTTTCTTTTAAAACTGCAAGTTCTCTTTTTACATATTAAACATAATTACTAAGGTGGGCTATTCAGAATGATGGCTAATTCAGGGGTCAAAAAGACTAAACTAGCCAACCTGTTCTTGAGGGCAGTGAAAGTGTGGAGAGAAGGGTGAAGTGGTATCAGAATTGGGGAGTTTACCCCCCAGATTATAACCCCACTTCACTGGAAATCATCCATTACTGATGCCAGTTCTTATTCCTGATGTATCTAGAGTCCAGTGAAATAAAGTGACAGAGCACTTCCTTAGGAATTAGAAGCAAAGGTCCCCAAAGTTACCCTCGGCCAGTATCACTTGACACTCACTGAACTAACTTCTTATGGGCTCTGACCTAGATGAAAGGTGAACATGAATTCTTAGCTTCAGGAGGGTGTGGTGGCCAGAAAACAAATGTCTCTAGCCAAAGACATTACAGGGTCAATGAATGTAAGGTGAGTTCTTGATCTGAGATAATCGAGATGAAACAAATTAATGTACAGTCAAGCCTAGGTGAGAAGTTAAGCAGAGAAAATTTTATAAAAAGTACATGTGTATTTTGAGTTCTTTCACTTTGCTAAACTAGGAAGTACAAGCTCAAAGATCAAAATCACAGAAGAGTAAAACAGCCACTACTATGGACTGATTCATGAAAGCCTGACCACATACCCTAGACTGTATAATTCTATACTCAACCTAGTAACAAATCTACTATAATCCTGTGCAGTGGTTAAAATAAAAAACAGTACCTAAAGTAAAAAATAGTACCAAAAGCTGGCGACACTGAAGACGAACTGGATCACTCAACATTGCTGGTGGGAATGTAAAATGGTACAGCCACTTTGGAAAGGAGTTTGGCGCTTTCTTATAAAGCTAAACATCTGCTTATCAGATGACCCAGAAATTGGACTCTTGGGCACTTATCCCAGAGAAACAAAAACAGGCTCACACAAAAAGCTGTACACTAAGTTTCATAGCAACTTTATTCGAAATAGCAAAAAAAACCTAGAATTAACTCAGATATCCTCCAAAGGGTGAATGGTTTAAGCATGTTGTGGTACATTCATACCATGAAATACTTCTCAGCAATATGACAGAATGAACCATCAGTACGTGCAACAATTTGGATGGATCTCATGGGATAATGCTAAGTGAAAAAGTCAATTCCAAAAAGTTACATACTATATAATTTTGTTTATGTAACATTCTTGACATGTCAAAATTTTAGAAAGTGAGAACAGAATAGGGAAGAGGGTGTCTTGCTGCAGGGATCTTGGTGATGGATCTGTGCTATAGCTTGCCTGGGATGGATACAACATTCTACACAAGGGGAGGTCCCTGGTGGTCCAGTGGTTGGGACACTCTCACTGCCAGGGGTCAGGGTTCCATCCATAGTCAGAGAACTAAGACCCTACAAGCCCCACTGCATGACCAAAAAAACAAAAATAAGAATCTAGACAGGTGTGATAAAATCTGTACAGGACTAAACACACACAAATGCAAAACAGGCTATCTAAATAAGATCCATGGGCTATTCCTGGTTATGCTGTTGTATCAAACTTTTACAAGATGTTACTATTTGAGAAGACTGGGTAAAGGGTACACAGGATCTCTACTGTTTCTTACAACTGCATGGAAATCTACAATTAACTCAAAATTCAAAATATTAAAAAATTTCTAATAAAAAATTAAAGTGAACTAAAAAATGAATCATATCTTATTTTTCATTTGTGATGAACAAGCAGGCAACATTCCACATTATTTTCACAAATAAAGAAAATATGTATAACTATCCAGGTGATAAAAACCATATAAACATAATAAAACCCATAATTTTACTGTGCTAAGCATCTGATAAGCCTTATCTTGCATAATCCACACAAAAGTCCTATGAGGGGGACTCTACATCACTCATAGTTCACAGAAGGTGGGGGGGGGGGGGCTTCCTCTGTGACTCCACTTCCCCAAGCTATTCGACTAATAACTGGAGCCAAATTCAGACAGGCAAGTGTAAGTCCTTCCAGCTATACAGTTAGTGCCCATGGGGTGATCAGCGGTGTCCGACTCTTTGCCACCCCATGTACTGCAGGTCGCCAGGCTCCTCTGTCCACAGAATTTTCCAGGCAAAAATACTGGAGTGGGTTGCCATTTCCTACTCCAGGGGATCTTCCAGACCCAGGGACTGAACCTGCGCCTCCTGCACTGGCACTGGAAGCATATTCTTTACCACTGCTCCATCTGCTAAATCCAAATAAAGTAATAAAGTTACATCGTTCTATTTTTGTTTTGCTCAGCTGTCCTGACCCTAAAAGTTAAAAAAAAAAAAAAACTTCCATCAAACACTGAAAACAGGTGTTAGTTAGGCATAGAACTAGAGGATCACGTAATCTAACACAGGTCTTTCAGAGATTACACAGCCCACTTCCCTCATTTTACAGCTAAATAGGGGTGAAGTGACATCTACGGGTGAATCATTGTTTCCAGGCCCGTAAAGCATATTTAAAACTACCTGTCAGTCCAGTATTAAAAAAAAAAAAAAAAGGAAACAGATCGCTAAATGATGGCAGAGACCAAGCCGTCTGGTTCATTTATGCGCTCAATATTTACAAGACCAATAATGAATGACATGTCAGGAGCCACATATATGGATGGCCAGAAAACAGCAGACTGTCAGGCGTCGCCATGACAGAGCCTCCGTCTGGAGAAGGTTAGGGCTGGGCAGTGCCCTTTAGTGAGCACTCCGCTCAGTAGGAGACGCACTGGAGACAGAGGTTCTCCACAAGGACCCACAAGGGGCGCGGGGCGGGGCTAGGAAGACGCGAGGTTGAGAGGGCGGAGCCACGAGGGACGCGGGGCGGGGTCTTGGGGGGCGGGGCCTAGCTGGAGGAAAGGAGGGCCGCTGGGCCTGCCCAAACGAGAATTTTCACCATCATCATCTCCAGACTTTCTCCTGCGACGCTAAGTCCGCTGGGCTGTGCAGCTCGAGGACGCGCGACTCGGCGGGCCAGATTTTCAGTTAACCAAGCGATGGGAGAAGGGAAAGGGGAGAGGGTGACCACCACTAGTCCCGCCCCTCTCGGGGCCTAGCTCGTCTACTCACAGCGTCAAAAAGAAGGAGCAAGCTAGCGTCCCCAGCGTCTACGGCGGCGCAGGCCTGCCCTTCGCCCTCCGCCGCGCGCGTCCATTGGCCACTGGCGGCTGCGCCCACGTGGGGCGAAGGCGCTCCTTTCATTGGCCTCTGCTTAGGGGGCGGGGCTAGAGGGCGCCGGGACCCAGACATTGCAGGTCTCAAGGGCTGGCTTCTAGGGCTTGAGGCAGGGAAAGGGGCGCAGGCGATGGTACCAGCGCTGCGTTATCTGGGCAGTGTCTGCGGACGGGCCCGCGGGATTTTCCCCGGGAGCTTCTCCGCGGCGCGCACACCCGCGTCGGGGAAATCCCGGCTGTTGTGCCAGGGTGGCCGCAGAGCCAGCACCAGGTGAGTACCCGCTGGCCCGCCCCCGGCGGTCTGCGCTGCCTCTCTTGGAGTTGCCTAGTGCTGGACCTCTGCCTCTGCTTTTCTTCGCTGTCCTCGGCGAGAGAGAAGCTCGGGATCCTGTGAAGCCCGAGCTCCAGCCCCAGACCCCAAGAGCTACCTGCCTGGATCACTCGTAGGCTTGTGGGCGAGAGGAGAAGAATAAGAAAGGCAGTGTCGAGTAGAGGTCAAGAACAGTCCTGGCTTTTAATACAACTCCACCGCTTCCCATTCAACCCTGGGCGGGTTACTTAAGCTCCTTTAAGGCTCAGTTGTGAATCGGAACCTGGTCTCTCGCGCAAGTGGTCGTTTTGAGGCTTAAAAGGACCTCACACACTGTAAGCAGTCAAACGTGCTGTTTGTTCGCTGGCCTTCCTGATGTTACTTGGAACATCTGAAACCGGTCTTAAATCAGTCAGTTCCTGGCATACACACGGCTGCATAGAGTTGCCCGTGTGAGAAGCAACTCAGCTGCTAATCAAACCCTGCAGAATTCAGCGTCCTGTGTGATTTGAAATGTGGAGATCACGTATGAAATTACTGTTTTTTTACCTGCTGTCTGTATGGGGAGTGGTTTATGTGAAGGTTCCAAAGCTGGAAAGCGCTTGGCTCTTTTTCGGGAACTAGCATGTGGGCAACATGGGTGTGAGTGGAGCTTGGCGAAACAGAGGATGGTGTGGAAGGACACCGGAGAGGGGTTACATCACAGCAGAGGTTTTGCTTTAACTGCACGTGGAATTTTATCTAAGGGCGCTGGGAGACTTTTAAAGACGCGATTAAATGTTGATGTTTCAAAAGTTGATTCTGGCTGCTGTGTATTAGTGGATTGGAGGGGAATTAATGAGGAATAGGATTTGTGATTCATCGTGGGGTATGTAGACTGTTCTTTTGGGAACCTTTTCTTAAGGGAAGAAAAGTAAGGTTAGTGACGGTTTTGTTTATACTTTTTTTTGTTTTGAAATGATTAAAGATCCATAGGAAGTTCTAAAAAAAAAAAAAAAAAACACACAAAAACCCAGACCAGAGAGCTCTCATGTACCCTTCTTCACCCATTTTGCTCCAACATCTTACCTAACTGTAGTAACAGTGTCAAAACCAGGAAAATGATATTAGCACAATCCATAGACCTTGTTAAGATTTTCATCAGTTTTACATGCACTCATTGTTTAAAAATTGCTTCATTACTTACAGACTTTATATAACATTTAATATCTTAAAAGATTATTTTGAAAATTGAAATTACATTAGGTAGATAGATTTAGGGGAGAATTGCTTCTTTATAATTTTGAGTTTTCCCATTCCATGAACTTAAAATATCTTTTCATTTATGCATACTCATTTGTTATTTAGGAGCTTTCCAGGTGGCTCAGTAAAAGAATCCACTTGTCACTGCAGGAGTGGGAGGAGACACAGGTTTCATCCCTGGGTCCAGAAGATCCCCTGGAGGAGGAAATGGCAAGCCACTCCAGTATTCTTGCCAGGATAATCCCATGGACAGAGGAGTATACTCCATGGGGTCACAAAGAATTGGACATGACTGAGCATGCACATACTCATGGCTTTGTTATTTAATAGAGTTTAAAATTTTTCTCTGTGAAGTTCTTTTCTTTAGGTTAATTCTTAGATTCCCTTATTGCTTTGCTGCTATGATAAATAGTATCTTATTTTATATTCTTTCAGCTGAGTTTTACTTATATAGAATATGCTTTTTTTGTATTTCTTATCCAGTTTTGGGGATTTCCCTGGTGGCTCAGATGGTAAAGCCTCTGCCTGCAATGCAAGAGACCTGGGTTCAGTCCCTGGGTTGGGAAGATCCCCTGGAGAAGGAAATGGCAACCCTCTCCAGTATTCTTGCCTCAGAAATTCCACAGACAGAGGAGCCTGGCGGGCTACAGTCCATGGTGTCACTAACAGTCGGACATGATTGGGAAACTAACACTTTATCACTATAGGACCTTCCCAAGTGGCTCAGTGATAAAGAATCAATCTGCCTGCCAAGTAGGAGACATGAGTTCAATCCCTGAATTGGAAAGATCGCTTGGAGAAGGAAATGGCAACCCACTCCAGTATCCTTGCCTGGGAAATTCAATGGACAGAGGACAGTCCATGGGGTCGCAAAAGAGACAGACATGACTTAGCGACTAAACAACGCCAACATTCAATTTTGGAACGTGAGTCATAGGTATTTCATAAAATGAGTTAGGGAGTTTTCAGCTTTTTAAATTTTTCTGGAACATCTTCAGTGATAGAGATTATCCATTCCTTGAAATTTTGGTAAAATTTACACACGTTTGTGTGTGTTTAGGTGGAAAGCTTTTGATAACTAATTTATAGCAATTGATTCAAAACTTCTATTTCTTCTTGTCTCACTAATTTTGCTTGAGTCACTCACCCCATTTCATCTACATTATCACATTTATTAGTACAAAGATCTTCATCATGTTCTTTGATTACGTTTAAGATCATTGTCATGTCTTTACATGTTTTTCCTTATTCTGTTTTATTTATTTGTGTCATCTCACTTTTTTCCTCATTACTATTGCCAGAGATTTGTCTACTTTATAAAAGGATTTTTCTTCTTTGTTATATTTTGTTATATATATGTTCGTTTTATATATTATGTATCTTTATATATTTGTTTTTCCTTATTGTATTTAACTTCTTGAGTTGATAACTCATTAAATTTTGGTACAGTAGTATTTTTAGGAGTGTCTGTTGCATGTTAAAGTTCCTGTAGCCTTTTTTATCTAAGAATATCTTTATTGAATCCTCATATTTAAATGATACAGTTTAACTATAGGTTAGAAATCCTTTTTTTCTTCTTGAAACTACCACGTCATTGACGTTTTTTTTGGTTGGTTTTGTTTTGTTTTGTTTTTGGCTTCTTTTGTTTGTTTGTTTGCTTTTTGTGTTTTGCCTACAACGTGCAGCATTGTGGGACTTTATTTCCCCAACCTGGGATGGAACCCTCACCCTCTGTATTAGCAGTGCAGTCTTAACTACTGGACCACCGAGGAAGTCGCTCTATTGACTTATGGATTTCATTGTCACAAGTTAGAAATCTGATGTCAAATGAATTCATGTTTTTAAAAAAATTTTTTTCTTATTTTGGAGCACAGTTGATTAACAATGTTGTGTTAGTTTCAGGTATACTGCAAAGTGATGCAGTTATATACATACGTGTATCTGTTCTTTTTCAAATTCTTTTTCCACTATCTTATTACAGAATATTGAGCAGAGTTCCCTATAGGTCCTTGCTGGTTATCTATTTTAAATATTGCGTGTGTACCTGTCAATCCCAAACTCCCACTATATCCCTCCCCCAACCCAGCTTACCCCTTTGGTACCATAAGTTCATTCTCTGTCCTTCTATTTTGTAAATAAGTTTATTTGTATCATTTTTTTAGATTGCCCAATTGCAATGTATGATATTTGTCTTTATCTGACTTATTTCTCTTAGTATGATAATCTTCAGGTTCATCCATGTTGCTGCAAATGGCATTATTTCTTCTTTTTAATGACTAATATTCCATAGTATATATGCACCGCATCTTTGTCCATTCATTTGTTGATGGACATTTCAGTTGCTTCCATGACTTGCTATTTTAAACAGCTCTGCAGTGAACACTGGGGTGCATGTATTCTTTTGAACAATGTTTTTCTCCACATATGTGCCAAAGAGTGCAGTTGCTATACATGTAGTAAGCACGTGTTTAATTTTTTAAGAAAAGGCCATACTCTTTTTCCAGAGTGGCTGTACTATTTTACATTCCTACCAGTAATGTGTGAATTGATCCAGTTGTTCTCATCTTCATCAGCATTTGGTGTTAGCACTTTAAAAAAAAAAAAAGTCATTCTGATAGGGGTGTAGTGATATCTCATTGTAGTTTTAGTTTGCATTTCCTTAATGACTAAAGGTATATTTTCATGTACTTATTTGCCATGTTTATATCTGTCTTCTTTGATGAAATGTTTGTTTGTATCTTTTGCCCATTCTCTAAATGACTTGCTTATTTCAGGAATTGAGTCCTTTGTCATATACATGGTTTGCAAGTGTTTTCTCCCAATTTGTTCATCTTCTTATCCCCTTAACAGAGTCTTTTGCAGAGCAAAAACTTTTAATTTTGATGAAGTCCAGTTTATCAATATTTTTCTTTTATGGGTTATGCTTTTGATGTGAACACTTCAAGTTCCCAGCCCTAGATACCTAGCCATAGATACCAAAGATTTTCTCCTGTGTTTTCTTCTTAAAGTTTAATTGTGAATAGTTGCAGATATTTAAAAACTAAATTTTTTGGCTAGAATAATAGCATTGTGTATGTTTTAAAGAGCTCTTTTAGAAATAACATATTGGATATTTACAGATGATGTTTAGAATTTAGATCGAAATAATATAATGCAAGAGGGAGTGAAAAAAAAAACAAATAAGTGGGGTGAAAAAGTGAAGTTGGGCATGTTCCTATAAAACCTAGATTTGTTGACCATGAGATCAACGCTAATGGTAATTTTTTAAGCTTCTCACTGTGGAGTTAGACTATACATACCCTTTCTAATTTTTTAAATAATTGTGTAATCAGCGTTATCGTGACTAAAATTGGTTCTGAGCCCATTTCTGGACCACTTATTTCCTTAAGGTTTGATTTTTTTCACTGTTTCCTTCTAAGCAGAATAAAATAATTATGACTTTTTGCACACTAAGGTGTTAAAGACTTAATACTAACTTGTCCTCAAAAATACTGCCCTTGAGGGACTTCCTGGTGGTGCAGTGGTTAAGACTCCATGCTTCCAAGGCAGGGAATGTGGGTTAGGTCCCTGGTTGGGGAACTAAGATCCCACATGCTGTGCAATGTGGCCAACTCTCCACCTGCAAAAACCCAGAAACAAACAGAAAAGCACAAAAGAATACTGCACTTGAATTTTTGACAGTTAGTAGGGGAGAGTGTGATACTTAACTGAGTAACTACTGATGGAGCCAGCTTCTGCAGAGTATAATGGAGACTTAGAGAGGCTTGGGCACCCAGCCATTTTGCCTGCTGGCTGTAGCTGATTAATTTTTAAAGCCAAATATCACAAAGTCCAGTAAACATTTAATTTTAATGATTACTGATTAATAGTTTAGTTGTTCATTGGTGATGAAAATGCAAAGTTTGATAAAATCTATTGTAAACATGTGTTACTTTAAAGATGGCTTTCTTTTAAAGCTCATTTGATATAGTCATTATTGGTGGCGGAATTGTGGGGCTTGCCTCTGCCAGAGCACTCATCCTGCGACATCCAGCACTTTCCATTGGTGTTCTGGAGAAGGAGAAAGATTTAGGTATGTATGTTATCATGTTGCTTAACCCGAACACCTTTGAGCAAACTCTGGGAGATGGTGAAGGACAGGGAAACCTGACGTACTACGGTCCATGGGGTTGCAAAGAGTAGGACATGACTGAGCAACTGAACAATGATAAACCTGAACACCTGCTCATGTTGTCAGTTCTGCATCTTTCAATCTAAATGTCAATGCTAGTGTCCCAGTCTGGATTCTTCAAAAAGCAGAGCCTGGGACTAGAACTTGGATATTGGATATTGGATATGGGCTTCCCTTGTGACTCAACTGGTAAAGAATCTGCCTGCAATGAGGGACACCTGGCTTTAATCCCTGGGTTGGAAAGAGCCCCTGGAGAAGGGAAAGGATACCCACTCCAGTATTTTGGCCTGCAGGATTTCATGGACTATATTAATCCATAGGGTTGCAGAGTCAGACATGACTGAGTGACTTAAAAAAAAAAGATGATCTGTGAGGTTATCCAAGGAAGCAGTAGTCAGTGGGTAGGGAGAATAAACAGGGAAGGAGGGAAAACTTTGTGAAGGTGTGTTATCCAGGTTGAAGCTGTGAGCTTGATTCCACCAAGACATCTGAGGAACTGCCTAATGTTTCCCAGGATTGTGCTCATGTGCCCTTCAACTTCTGCCCCTTTGTTTGAGGAGTGTCCCTAGGGATGTTGAGTCCCTCTGCTCCCAAAGACTAGAGGACACCCTGGGGCAAAAGGCAGAGAGCCATAGTGGGCCCTTGAGGTGGGTTGCTGGTGGTGAGGGCTGGGTTTGTACCCCAAAGTCATAGCTGAAGTCAGAGATTGGCTGGAGGGACCTGACACAGACACTGGTTGGCTGCTGGGGAAGCTACAAGTGCCCTGACCAGAAGAACAAACTCAGGCAGAGTTTTAAATAGTGGTCTCTAATAGCTTCAACTCTAACTGTATTCCCCCACTTCTTGGGTTTTGAATGAGTCATGTATGTACTTTCTCTTAAATGTATTTCTCTTGTTCCATAGCTATTCATCAGACTGGACATAACAGTGGTGTCATACATAGCGGGATTTATTATAAACCTGAATCTCTGAAAGCTAAATTATGTGTGCAAGGCGCAGCCCTCATCTACGAGTACTGTAACCAAAAGGGAATTTCCTACAAGCAATGTGGCAAGGTATTGCATTTTACTAGGGCCTTGACTTATTTATAAATAGTATTTTCTTAGTAATCTTAAATGTTGATTTAAAAAATACCTGGCTTTTCTTTCTTTGTATCCATGTAATTTGCAAAATCTAGATGTTTCATGTAAATGGGGTCCTGCAAAATGTTCTCTTTTGTGATTGGCTTCTTCCACTTAGTGTAGTGTTTTCAGAGTTCATTCATCTTGCAGCGTCAGTCAGTACTTCATTCGTCTTTGTATTCTATTGGATCGATATACCACATTTTGTTTATCCATTTATCAGTTGATAGACATTTGGGTTGTTTCCACTTTGGGGCTACTATGAATAATGCTGCCATGGACATTCATGAACAAGTTTTTTTGTGGACCTATGTTTTCCTTTCTGTCAGGTATATACCTAGGAGTAGAGTTGCTGGGTCATACAGAAACTATATGTTTAACATTTTGAAGAAGTGCCAAACTATTTTCCAAAGTGCTGTACTATTTTATATCCCCATCAGCAATTAATGAGGATTCCAGTATCTCCATATCCTCATGAACACCAGTTATTGTCTGCTTTATTTTAGCCATCCTAGAGGATGTGAAGTGCTATGTCACTGTGGTTTTTATATAATTAAACTTAGTAATTAATAATGTTAAGCATCTTTCATGTACTTACTGGCTATTCATTTATCTTCTTTGGAGAGATACCTATTCAGATCTTTTGCTCATTTTAAAATTGAGTTATTTGTCTTTTTATTGTTGAGTTGTGTTATTTATATATTCTGAATATAGGCCCTTATCAGTTATATGTTATTTACTAAAATACTACTAAAATATTAAAATACTTTTATTTTTAAAATAAAATAATAGTAATGATGATATTTAAAATATTGCTAAATGTTTTCTCCCATTCTGTAGATTTTCTTTTTACTTTCTTGAGGATATCCTTTGAAGCAGAGAAACTTGATTTTGATGAAATGTAGTTTATCTTTTTTTTTTCTTTTGTTGCTTGTACTTTTAGTGTCATATCTAAGAAATCATTGCCAAACCTTAGATCATGAAAATTTGCTCCTAATTTTCTTCTAATATCAAAGCCTTAACTCTGATATTTAGATCTTTAGTCCCTTTTCCTCCCCCAGATGAGTTGGTTTAATTCTGAGCGGTACAGAATTGGAGCTAGAACAAAGACTGAAGAACAGACTTTGGATTCTAGGCTAAGGTGGAAATGGCTGAATGAGAAGAACTAAAGAGAAGATGAGCCGCTGTATGATTTCATTTTTTTAAACCTTAACAAAAGTTTGTTTTTAAATGTGTAGCAGGCTTCATCAAGACAGCACTTCATTCTAACTCTAGGTGGCAATAGACATTATGGCAGGGAATCAGGAATGGAATTAAGGATTACCATTGCCTCCAGCACAAAGAACAGCTTCCCTTTTTTTTTTTTTCTTTTTAATATGTATTTTTATTTTTTGACTGCACTGGATCTTAGTTGCAGCATGTGGGATCTAGTTCCCCCACCAGGGGTTGAACCCAGGCCCCTTGCATTGGGAGAGCAGAGTATTAGCCACTAGAGCACTAGGGAAGTCCCTAAAAGTGGTGTTTTGTTTTGTTTTGTTTTCCTTGGCTGCACTGGGTCTTCCTCAGCTCACAGGCTTAGTTGCCCTGTAGCATGTGGGATCTTGGTTCCCCTTCCCTGACCAGGGATCAGACCCACATCCCGTGCATTGGAAGGTGGATTCTTAACCACTGGACTACCAAAGAAGCCCCCCAGCTTCCTTTTGACAGATTTCTTAATTCTACCTTTCTCCAGGAGGGCCTTCCCTGCAGCCTTTGCTTTTAGCTTCTCCAGTTTCTTTTGCCTCTCGCTCGCTCTTCGGGCGAGCTGCGTCTGTTGCGGTGCTCTGGCTTTCGGGGCAGGGTGGACACTTCTCTAGCTGCCGTGCAGGGACTTAATTGCCCCACAGCACGTGCGATCCTGGTTCCCCCACCAGGAACTGAACCCCCGTCCCCTGCTTTGCAAGGCAGATTCTTAACCACTGGACCACCAGGGAACTCCCCTTCTGCTTCTCTTTTTGTTGCTGCTTGAATGCCCCATCATCTTCATCCAGCTCCTTGGTCTGCTTCAGGTGCTTTTTACCACCTTTGCAGCTGGCCTACTGCCCCTTCCCCAGACCCTGCCACCAGAAGTAAAGCTCCCACCCCACCCCCTACACGTGTTCTGCCAGTGTGGGTTCATTTTTTAATGAATTGTGGTATATGATGTCAGGAGGGGGTCTAACTTCATTCTTTTGCATGTGGATATACATTTGTCTCAGTGCCATTTGTTGAAAAAAGTGTTCTTTTTACAGTACTTTGTTTTGGCACCTGCATCAAAAATCAGTTGAGCATAAATGTAAGAAGGTGTATTTAGGGTTCTCAATTCTATTCCACTGACGTGTGTTTGTCCTTATGCCAATACTGTTTGTCAGTATCTCCAAAAGGGCAGCTGATATTTTTGATAGAGATTATACTGAATCTATAGATCAGTTTGGGGAGTGCTGCCATCTTAGCAATATTTAATTTTACAAAACATAAAATTGGGATGTCTTCCCATTTATGTTAATTTTCTTTAATTTCTTTCAACAATATTTTTTATTTTTCATTGTACAGTTCTTGCATTTCTTTTGTTAATGTTATTCCTTGATATTTTATTCTTTCTGATGCTTTTGTGAGGAAAATTATTAATTTCAGTTGAGTTTATTCATTGCTAATGTGTAGAATAGGATTGATTTTTACATATTGATCTTTATCCTTCAACTTTGTTGAACTCATTTCTTAGTCTCATTGTTTTTTTTTGTGTGTGTGTGTGGTGTGTGTATCCTTTAGGACTTTAAACATGCAGAATCATGTCATCTACACATAAGATAGTCTTACTTTTATCAACTGGGTATTTTTTATCTTTCCTAATTTACCCAGGTTCAGTTCAGTTCAGTTGCATAGTTGTGTCCGACTCTTTGCGACCTATTGGACTGCAGCACACCAGGCTTTCCTGTCCATCACCAACTCCCAAAGCTTACCCAAACTCATGTCCATCGAGTCAGTGATGCCATCCAACCCTCTCATCCTCTGTCGTCCCCTTCTCCTCCCGCCTTCAGTCCTTCACAGCATCAGGGTCTTTTCCAGTGAGTCAGCTCTTCGCATCAGGTGGCTAAAGTATTGGAGTTTCAGCTTCAGCATCAGTCCTTCCAAGGAATATTCAGGACTGATTTCCTCTAGGATGGACTGGTTGGCTCTCCTTGCAGTCCAAGGGACTCTCAAGAGTCTCCTCCAACATCACAGTTCAAAAGCATCAGTTCTCTGGTGCGTAGCTTTCTTTATAGTCCAACTCTCACATCCATACATGACCACAGGAAAAACCATAGCTTTCACTACACTGACCTTTGTTGGCAAAGTAATGTCTCTGCTTTTTAATATGCTGTCTAGGTTGGTCATAGCTTTTCTTCCAAGGAGCAAGTGTCTTTTAATTTCATGGCTGTAGTCACCATCTGCAGTGATTTTGGAGCCCCTAAAAATAAAGTCTGTCACTGTTTCCATTGTTTCTCCATCTATTTGCCATGAAGTGATGAGACCAGATGCCATGATCTTAGTTTTCTGAATGCTGAGTTTTAAGCCAACTTTTTCACTCTCCTCTTTCACTTTCACCAAGAGGCTCTTTAGTTCCTCTTCACTTTCTGCTATAAGGGTGATATCATCTGCATATCTGAGGTTATTGATAGTTCTCCTGGCCTTCTTGATTCCAGCTTGTGCTTCATCCAGTCTGGCATTTCACATGATGTACTCTGCATGTAAGTTAAATTAGCAGAGTGACAATATACAGCCTTGATGTACTCTTTTCCTATTTGGAACCAGTCTGTTTTTCCATGTCCAGTTCTAACTGTTGCTTCTTGATCTGCGTATAGATTACTCAGGAGGCAGGTCAGGTGGTCTGGTATTCCCATCTCTTTAAGATTTTTACACAGTTTGTTGTGATCCACCCAGTCAAAGGCTTTGGGGTAGTCAATAAAGCAGAAGTAGATATTTTTCTGGAACTCTCTTGCTTTTTCAATGATCCAATGGATGTTGGCAATTAAATCTCTGGTTCCTCTGCCTTTTCCAGCTTGAACATCTGGAATTTCATGGTTCAAGTAGTATTGAAGCCTGGCTTGGAGAATTTTGAGCATTACTTTGCTAGCATGTGAGATGAGTGCAATTGTGCGGTAGTTTGAACATTCTTTGGGATTGCCTTTCTTTGGGATTGGAATGAAAACTGATCTTTTCCAGTCCTGTGGCCACTGCTAAGTTTCCACATTCGCTGGCGTATTGAGTGCAGCACTTTCACAGCATTGTCTTTTAGAATTTGAAATAGCCTAATTGGAATTCCATCACCTCCACTAGCTTTGTTTGTAGTGAGCTTCCTAAGGCCCACTTGACTTCTCATTCCAGGATGTCTGGCTCTAGGTGAGTGATCACACCATCGTGGTTATCTGGGTTATGAAGATCTTTTTTGTGTAGTTCTTCTGTGTATTCTTGCCACTTCTTATTATCTTTTGCTTCTGTTATGTCCATACCATTTCTGTCCTTTATTGTGCCCATGTTTGCATGAAATGTTCCATTAGTATCTCTTATTTTCATGAAGAGATCTCTAGTCCTTCCCATTCTATTGTTTTCCTCTTACTTCTTTTGTTGATCATTGAAGAAGGCTTTTTTAAATTTCTCCTTGCTATTCTTTGGAACTCTGCATTCAAATGGGTATATCTTTCCTTTTCCCCTTTACCTTTAGCTTCTCTTCTTCTCTAAGCTATTTGTAAGGCCTCCTCAGACAACCATTTGGCTTTTTGCATTTCTTTTTCTTGGGGATGGTCTTGATCACTGCCTCCTGGACAATGTCATGAACCTCCATCCATAGTTCTTCAGGCACTCTGTCTATCAGATCTAATCCCATGAATCTGTTTGTCACTTCCACTGTATAATTGTAAGGGATTTGGTTTAGGTCA